AAATATGCATCTAAACGTATATAGTGGTTTGAGGATCAACTTTTCCACTTAAACATAAATATCACCCCTCCAACGTAAAGGATGGTCATGGTTTGATTCACTAGGTACTAGCGTGTTTACTACTCAATACTTTATATCAATATCCTCTAAAGTTGATGATGGTGGTTGACCAGGATCTGAACCTGTAGGGACCAATCTCTTCATTGGAATTGATGATGGTGGTTGACCAGGATCTGGACATGTAGGGACCAATCTCTTCACGGCTTCATATCTCATATCAAAATTATTTGTTGAAATTGATGATGGTGGTTGACCAGGATCTGGACCTGTAGGGACCAATCTCTTCATTGAAATTGATGATGGCGGTTGATCAGGATCTGGACCTGTTGGGACCAATCTCTTCATGGCTCCATATCTCATATCAAAATTATTTGTTGAAATTGATGATAGTGGTTGGCCAGGATCCGAACCTGTAGGGACTAATCTCTTCATTGAAATTGATGATGGTGGTTGACCAGGATCTGGACCTGTAGGGACCAATCTCTTCATAGCTCCATATCTCAAAATCATTATAATGTTGATTTTGGTTTGTAGGTGATGATGAAATGAGTACAAATAGGAGAGAGAATGCAAACAAATGAAGTTGATGATATTCAGACTTCATTCTTGAAAACCAAGAGCTAGATATTTTCACGGTAGGTTTTTGAAAATATAACAAAAAAGATTTTAGATCTTGTAGTTTTAATCAACAAAATGGTGTCCTATATATATACACTCACTTGAATCGTATTGACCGGAATATATAGTAATTTTATGAGTTTGGTAAAATTTATTTTCTTTATTGAGTAAGTCGTATTGATATGAATATATAGTAATTTTATGAGTTTGGTAAGATATATTATTTTTATTGAGTAAATCATATTGACATGAATATATAATAATTTTATGAATTTGGTCAGATGTATTTACTTTATTGAGTAGAGCTGTATAGAGGAATTATTATTAATATTGATGAAAATGACAAATTGAAATCAAATAATAAATATTGCTATATATAAGATTCTAAGATATTTTTCACAACGTCCTTTTAGAATATATCAATCATAAATATATTTCAATCACCATTGTAGAAAGGGACGAAGCTATAGGGGGCAATAATCGCCCCCCTCCCCCCCCCCTCCCCCACCCTCCTATATTGTACCCCATTGTGTGTATATATATGTATTGAGTATATAATACATGATTAGAGATAAATAAATCTACAAATCTAATAAGAGCCAATAATATTAGGCCCTTAACAGGAACACAAAAATGTTGGTGTAATTGTTTCTTGAAATAAATGGTTCATATTATTTTAATTTTAGTATTTTTTTTAATGATTTTCCTTATTTACCCTATATTATATTATTTTCTTCGCTTAAATAACCTACATTTCGTTAGTATAAACTTTAGTAACAAAATATTACATTAACTATTTATTATTCTTAACTTATTAATTTCTATAAGAAATGTCTTAGATTGGAACCTCATTCCAATCAGAGTTGACATAATGGTTAAACATATGCTTCAAATATATTAAAATGTAGGAAAAAAAAAAACACAATATAAAATTTAACATAAACCTTGATCAAATAATTAACCCGACTAATACATAGCATTCAAAGTTGAGCGTCAAAGATTATAAATCAAGAAATTTGAAAATTATTTTCTTTCAATTTTTTTTTTAAAAAAATTATGGTAAGGTTTTTTTTTTTTTTTTTTTGGTCGTTTAGATAATCTTATTTTGATTATTCATAACAAAATTCAATATTTCAATTATGATTTTGCATTATTTGAATGATTTAGGACATTATGGTATTAATATTTTTTTATATGTATTTTTATAATAGTACAATTGTTTATTACTTTACAAATATTATATTATTATTTCTTTTATCAAACAAAATTGTTCTTATATCATTGTCAGACCTGCGCGACCTAACTACAAGGTTGTTGATAAAATAAACAATTACACCTTGACTCTAAAATGGTAGGACCATTTTCTAAATAATTGACAATGTTGACATCCCACTGGCTCGAATTGAACAAGGTCACACATCAGTCTCATAATTTTATCAATTCATTAAACATCTAAAGAAATTTGTAAGTTAATTTTCACTGTAGTATTATAACAGTATCTATTGTAACCATATATTTTGAATTATTTATTATCATCATCTATTGACAACAATTTTCATTGACAAACTCTCAAAACAATTTGTCTCAACAACGAATGGAAATTTAAAAAAAAAAAAAATCAATGACTCCATTGTTGCGGATGAAAAGCATGTACGTCACTTTATTACTCTTATTTAATTAAATAAATTAGTAGCTATAACAAAAAATAATACATATGCATTTAATTAATTTAGAATTAAATGTCTCTATAATGCCTTTATTCAAAAAAATTAAAAAATTAAAAAATTAAAAAGAGATATAATTTCATTAGTTATATTATCTTTATTTTTTCACAATTCAAAGATTCCTTACCTTCAACTTTATTAATTAATTATATTCACTACATTGTCCATTGTCTTCTTTTTATATATATTATTTTGTAATTAAATATGAAAGTTATAATTTCTCAAAAAAAAAAAAAATATGAAAGTTATAATCTAAAATATGTTATATATTTATTTACCAAGTATTTTATACAAATAAATATTAATATTTTGTGCAATATTTTGACATGACAATCTACGACACACATCTCAAACATCAAACATTTTTTTTTAATAAATAAATAAATAAATCGGCGCCTAACGTTTTTTGCAACCTTGTATATCCATCACCTCATATGTCTTCTTAAAACCAGAGTAATGAATTAGGAACCTAATACTCTTGTTATGAAAATTCTAAAAACTTTTGTAACTTCTAAAAACAATCATTGACTAAACTACTGCATATGAAAAAAGTTTACATACTAAAAATCTCAAGTTATTCCGTTGGTGAATTTCTCATAAAAGCAACCTGAGATATTTGACATAATTTTGTATCTAAAAGTTGTGGTTTGATTACCTTTGTTTCTTAGTAAAGAAAATTGAAAATTGATAGGATAGTGTGTTTCACACGTCTAAAGGCAATAATCAAGTGTTTCTTTGTTTGTGCTAAGTCTTGAGTTTGTTATACGAGAGTCAGGTTCCTAACAAGTCATACTAAAATTATATTAAAATGCTTTTAGAATTGAACAATCTTGAAATAAGATGCTAAGAAGTGAAAAATAATGTTGTGAAAGTGGTTTTGATATAAGGAGAATAAAATGTGAATTTCTTACTTTACCCCTCAAATTTTAAATATTTTTTAATTTTCTAAAAATTTTAACGGTCGGGGACCAAATGCGCTACTTCGTTAATAACTGAGCAACTAAAAATGGATACAGTCATAACTCAGGGACTAAGTCGAAACTTGGGTATAGCTCAGGGACCAAAGATGCAATTTTCTCTATTATCAATTGGTCAAATTCTGATATTGAGAGTGAAAACCCTAGGTCAATGGAACCCAATATGTCTCAAAATATTTCTATTGACCCGTTAGTTACTCTGCCTGAACCTCTTTTTCCACTAAAAGATCATTCATCTAGCACCACAAAGCTCACCTCACAAAAACTTCATGCTGCCATATCTCACTACCTCTAAACAGGCCAACTCAAAAGTGTCATTAACCTGAGTTTAGCAAAGCCTCTGCTTCTGTACCTCTTCTACCTGCCCCTGTTCTTAAGTCAAGTTTCCCTGACCCTGATATATCAACAATACCTATTCATACTGATGACTTCCATATAAAGGATATTGGTTCCTCTATTTTTGAGAATGTTGAACCATCAGCAGCAGCAGAACCAGCTCATGTTCCAGTTCCATCAAGGAAGAAAAGGAAACAACCTTCTCCGGCTCAACATGTTCCAACAGCCCCTGAAAGTCATGATGTTTCTGTACCTCCTGCAGCTCATCTGACACTTTTGATGCACCAGATGGGAAGTGACAGTCAAGAAGAAAATACTGGGTGAAAGGAATATTGATGTGGCCAAGTCTCAGATAGTGTCTCAGCTGGAAATTAAAAAATCCATCTTCTCAAGTCTGTCACAGTGATGAAACCCTACTCTCCAGCCCTAGTGAAGGAATTCTATGCAAATATGCTCCCCTCTATCAATCAAATGGGATCACCAAACTTTGAGAGAGCCTGGGTAAGAGGAAATTAGTTCATGTTCAGTCCATCTCGAATCAACTGGCTCTTGGGTATTGAAGATGAAGAATACACTGAGAATGGATACATCTGAATCAATCAACCACCTTAAAAATTAAATTAAAAAAAAAAACTATTTATTAAAAATAAACAAACAAACAAACAAAAAAGCTATCTCGAGCCAAAAACCCACGCCCGCCTCGTCGGAATCCGAAATCCCATTTTTCCACTGACCACCGCCACACACCCACCCCGGAAACAAACAAAAAAAAAAAAAAAACAATAGAGAACGAAATACCCTAACCACCACCGGAAGCATCCCTCGTTCAACGCTTTGACCGCCTGATGAAAGAGCTAGTCATGGAAAATTTGATAGAACAAACAGAGACATGATGGGATGCACGGTGACAGGAGAAAAGGCGAAAAGCTGAAAGTGAGGTATGCGTGAGGAATTGCTGCGAATCTCTGCGATATAGTTGCGAATCTCAAAAATCGAAATACTAAATGCACAAGTAAATATTGATCCTGATACGATTTGGATAGGGTAAACAATTAATGTGTGTGCGAAATTACTCCAAAACCCTTAAACGTGTTAAAAACTAGCGCCAAATAAATAAAAGACTAAAATGTCATATCCCACCATGAGCCATTCCTGATTATTCATGCCAGACCATAATCTTTAATAAGTGATATTTCGAACTATAATTTTTTTTAATAAGTGAACCATAATTTTTTTTTATTTAGAATTTTTATAGGTTTTCTAGTAATTCTAATAACAAGGCGTGGAGATAAGCTGATATGATCTCATTTCTCGTCCATGTAAGCATTTTTAATTTTTTTTTCTTTAAAAAAAAAAAAAAAAAAAAAAAACTAAATGGGAAAGGACAAAAGAGATAAATTTCTCGCAGGAGGGGAACTCAGAGTAGGCCTCATCTCTTTCGTGCTTCCTCTTTTTCTTCAACACACACCGACGCCGGCAAAAGAGAGAGGTCGACGTCGGTCACTCTCAACCACACCGCCAGCTACCACCCACTGCCGTCCACTACTGCTACTGTCGGAAAAGGACCACCTGTCGCCGGAAAACCAAAGCTTGTCGTAAAAAGCTGCTATGCCAGAAGAGACTGTATGTCGAAAAGTGGTTGCTGCTCCGTCCGCCTGAAACAGAGATCGTCAGAGACTGTAGGTCGAAAAAAAAATTAATGATTTATGAATCTAAATATCACTTATTAAAGATTATGGTGTGGCATTAATAATTAAAGAATGGTTCATGATGCGAGATGACACTTTAACCTAAATAAAACAATCAACAAATCTGAACCATTAAATAAAATTTTTTTTAAAAAAAGCTCAATATCCAATCTCACAATCTCACTTACTTAGGGTAATCTCACTGGATCCCAACTATATATATATATATATATATATATATATATATATATATATATATATATATATATATATGGAAGGGATCAGGTGCATTTGTGGCTTCCCATGCGGTAGATTAATGTGCGTGAGTTATACATTTAATGTGCGTGAGTCGCGTGCTTAATGTGCCTGAGATTTATACTTACGTGAGTGTGTAATGTTAATGTGGATGAGTTTTGTACTTAATGTGCCTGAGTATTATGCTCCATGTGCGTGAATTTGTACTTAATGTGCGTGAGTGTGTTCTTCATCCACTACTGTGAAAATTATGCGCATTCACTGCTGCATTTTCTTCTTGTTTTTTGTTTCGAAGTGGTGGATGAATGGATTTTGCCTTGTTTTTAACATAAAATCAGAACAGCCATATGTGTGTTTTTAACCAAATCTTTGCTGAAAACTTGAGTAACGGCTAATAGTATTGATGTTGGTTAATACTAAAAAATTTTGAAAAAATTATAAACGAGAATGTTGAGATTAATAAGAACAAGAAAAATAATAATGGCAGTAAAGGATAAAGAAGACAAGATTTACGTGGTTCGGCAATGTGCCTACATCCACGGGAGTGAAACAATTCTTATATTCATAGTGATGGTGATAGTGGTGACACAACCCCTTAGGGATACAACCAATATATTTATAGGCATCTAATCCCTATACAATGGGTCTACCCATTTCACTCCTATTCCTAGTATGAGACAAACTCATATTCATAATCCCTATATGAGACAAACTCAACAATCTCCACCTTGGCGAATATGCTCTTTAGGAGAAAAAGATAACTCAACAAATCTCCACCTTGACGAATATGCTCTTTAGGAGAAAAGACTTATCTCACCATCTCCACCTTCACATATATGCCCTTTAGGAGAAAAGACTATCTCCACCTTCGCAAATATGCCCTTTAGGAGAAAAAGATAATTCAACAAATCTCCACCTTAGCAAATATGTCCCTTAGGAGAAAAGACTTTTCTCACCATCTCCACCTTCACAATTATGCCCCTTAGGAGAAAAATATTTATCTCACATATACACATGGATAGGAACAATCATGTTTATCCCAACTAGCCGGCCATATGCACCACACAGCATCAAACGTTACCCAGTGCATGTACACGAACCGCTTCGTCCCAAGCCATTCGCCCTCAGCCGTCGACCTGTTATACCAACCGCGACTCATGCTAACTGTCTCGTTCAGCTGACCTCCTGCATCTGGCCCATACCAGGTCCATATCCCCTCCTGGTATCCACGCTGCCCCTAACACAACAGCGCCCCTGCAAAGTCACACTAAACCCGTGTGCCTTGCCCAATGCTCCACTAACCAGCAATTACCACTGGCTAGCAACATGCACAACGCAGCATCAAACATTCCTAGTGCATGTTCACGAATCGCTTCATCCCGAAGCGTCCGCCCATACCAGCCGTGACTCATGCCAAGCCCGGCCCATACCAGGTCCATGTCTTATGACAAGCCCAACCCGTACCAGCCGTAACTCATGCCAAGCCTGGCCCATACCAGGTCCATGTTTCATGACAAGCCCAACCCATACCAGCCGTGACTAATGCCAAGCCTGACCCATACCAGGTCCATGTCTCATGACAAGCCCAACCCGTACTAGCCGTGACTCATCTCAAATTCGGCCTATACCGAGCCAATATTGACCCATATTGATACCAGGTCCACGACCCCTCCTGGTATCCGCGCTGCCCAACACTACAGCGCCCCTCACCACTTTCTCATCTAGCATCTAGAAACGCCCAACAAGTCCAAACAATGTTCAAACTTGTTACTAGTTACCGCTAGAACATCACTTTCACTATAATAAGAGTCATCCGCATGAACCATGTTCATAGCTTCCTGCTTCTTCAAATCCTCCCAATCAGCCTCTTCCAGATTAGTTGGTTTTTCCGCCTTCATGGTTTTCAGAAGGCCCTGGTATGCCAACAAATTCATTACCCTAGACTGCCATAGCCCAAAATTCTCTATACCATCAAACTTTGATACCTCGAATTTTGTACTTGAACTGGTCATCTCAACAGTGCTCTGATACCAATTTGTTGAGATTAATAAGAACAAGAAAAATAATAATGGCAGTAAAGGATAAAGAAGACAAGATTTACGTGGTTCGGCAATGTGCCTATATCCACGGGAGTGAAACAATTCTTATATTCATAGTGATGGTGATAGTGGTGACACAACCCCTTAGGGATACAACCAATATATTTATAGGCATCTAATCCCTATACAATGGGTCTACACATTTCACTCCTATTCCTAGTATGAGACAAACTCATATTCCTAATCCCTATATGAGACAAACTCAACAGAGAAAGTAATAATTACACGAAGCAAATATTTTGTATTCAAGTTCAAATTAACTATTCCATAGAAGTTGTGTTTTCCAAATACGTCAACCTCCAAGCTATTTATACATAGACAATAACAAAGAAAATTGTTCCCTTAATTACAAACTGTCCAATTTCGAGTTTTATGGGATATAATAATACCCTGCCTTTAGTACTGATATGTGTCGGATTAAACTTCATTGTATCAGGTTTTCTAGCTAAATTTTAGATGACTTCTCACACCTATGCTTGACATTCCCTTGGGCGAATTTATGTCAAACATTTATGTCATTATCCATCATAACAGAATGATAGATTGTTATAACCATGTCTACATAGGTTCTTTAGCCCACTGATTCAATAAGTAGTATTTGGAGTAAGATATTAAGGTTCAAAACTCGACAGCAACAATATGGAATTATGCTCAAAATAGACAGATTCCTCTGACATCATCTCCAAACGCTCTGTCAGACCGCTATTGGAGATCCAATCTTTTGGAGCAAGCTTTTATACATTAGGTATCCGGCTTGAATTATTTCTGTCTAAGAGCCTTCCACCCATATCTATGCACTCTACACACAAGGATCCTCATCACATCATATTGATTATCAAAGTGTTCTCTTGAATTATTTCTGCCATAATAACCAATTGTTTCCATATTATCACAATTTCAAAACAGGTGATGTTAGCTACTCCAATGTTGTTATAAAGACTGCCATCTTGCATTGTATGTGTTTTATCTTTCTTCTTATTATCTCTCTGTTCTCAATACATTCCCTTGACTTTTTCTTCTTTTTTTTTTTATTTGAAATGAAAATATATCACCACTGTACTCTAGGTTGGGTAAATATACTTATGCAAATAGATGTATTGAAAATGACTTCCGAAAATGAGTCATTTTTTCAAAAAACATTTTTCTTTCCAGTTTGGCTACACAACGAAAAACTATCTTTGTATGTTTGGTTCATTTTCTAGAAAATGAGCAGGAAAATGAAAAGCACTCTTTTGATATATATATATGAGAGAGAGAGAGAAAGAGAGAGATATGCACTCTTATGGATAGTCGACTTATAAAATGATAAGATCAGACTCACTTGAACCCTAAAACATGTTATACCTACCTTCAATGTGGATCGTTGTACTTTGTCATTAACTTCCTATGACCTCATTTCCTAACACCTGCCCAAGGAACATATCTAATTCCATATATTATAATTTGATACTTGACAAAAATCTCTTATCATTTGAACACTCATTTGTAAGAAAAGAGACAATTAGTTGTTTATGATAACTGAAATTAACATGATTATGTAAAATATTTGGTGTTCAATTGTTCAAACAGAGAATGTGTAACTATATATATGGAGACTGTGTGTCATATAATATGCTATATCAATGAGAAAGAAAGGTATTTGGTTAAGAAAACGTAGTTCACAAAGAAATACGGTTGTCTGAGAAGTAGACAACAAATTTTGAAGGAAGGTTCCAACTACTAAAATACGGTCCTATTTGGTAAATTGTTGACCTATCAGTCAATTTTGGCAATCATTATTGTATGAACCATGGTCCACACAATTGCATGGACCATAAATAAAATGTACATTTTTAATATACTAATGGTACATTATTTATGTACGTAAGGTACAGTTTTTGAAAGTACATTTTTAATATACTAAGGGTACATTATTTTATACAATGTATCTTCAGTACAAAAATAATGTACTTTTAATATATTAAAAATGTACTTGATATTTATGGTTCATACAATTGTGTGGGCCATGATCCACACAATAATTTGCTCTAATTTTGACTTATTTGACCACTATTAATTGTTTGATTTGATTAAAAAATTAATATAAGTATTTGATTAATTAGTTTTTTGCAACTCCAAAAAGCTAAATTTCAAAAAACTACTCCAAACAATTTTTTCAATTAGCTTTTTCAGAAACAGCTATCAGCTAACAGCTAATTTACCAAACATTTTTCTACCATCAGCTAATATTATCAACTAGTTATACCTTCTAATTAACACAATCAGCTAACAACTAACAGCTATCAGCTAACAACAATTTACCAAACATAGTCAATAATAATAATAATATAATAATTATTGCAGTCTCAACACTTTGCTGAATATAAATAGCAGATTAGTGGAAGAATTCAAATACCCAAATATCACACACCACACTGAAATGCCAAAATGCCACACTGACTATATATATATATATATATATATATATATATATATATATATATATATATATATATATATATATATAGAGAGAGAGAGAGAGAGGTAAACTGTAAACATGCGTACCCTTTTTTGCTTTTATTCAACTATGGCTCAAGAGCTAAGCTCATCGTCTTCAGAGCTGCCAGAGCTGGACTTAAGCTGTCATGAGTCATTGAAACCAAATTATATATTAGGATATGATGAAACTCTATAATGAGAGTGAAATAAAAAAGGCAATAGCAAAAGGGTAAAGGAGAGAGATGGACCTCTTTTATGTTTTCCACAATGACGACCATATTATCATTTCCTTGGTCAAGTTGCTTTCTTTGAATTTCCTTGGCAGAATCCACTGCAGAATGAAGACATCCATACAATTCGATTGACTTCAAATTTGGAATTTCTGCAAACTCATCTGGGATATTTTCCAATTCTTTGCAGCAATCAAGGACTAGACGCTCAAGATTTGGAAAATTACAATCACTTGCTTCCCAACGCTCAAGATTTCTAGCTTTAATTTCCAAATAAATTAACTCGTTGAAATTCTCCTCCTCCGATAGTTCCCACTCCTCACCAATGCACATACAACGGCTTAGCCTTAGAACCTCAAGTTTAGGCAACTTACTAAGAATATTAATTGCCTTCCACTCAAATCTCAAGTACGAAAACCTCAACTTCATAAGATTTTTCAAGCAAACAAGGTCGTTAATATTTGGAATCACCAATGGAGGCCCAAGGTATGTACCAAGAAGATGCAAACTCTGGAGCTGGTGTGAATATGCAATGTTATTAATGCAATCACTCCAACCATCTTCACATAGAATCATTACCTTCTTTAGGTATGGAATTTTTGTAAATACTTCTTTTGTGCATTGGTCAGGAATCAACCCACAAATGCTCTTCAAGTTTTCAGGAAAAGATATGGGAAAATCACTCAGACCCCAGTCACTACGCAAATGTTGTAGTTGTGGGAACTCTAAAAAGCTCATTTTATCAATACGTCTACCTGAAAGTGTTTGAAGATTCCAATTACAAAATGGATCTGAAATGGTAACTTCCAGGCATGACAATACGCATCTCAAATGGACAAGATAAGCAATCTCACACACCCCAGTATTATAGAGTACTCTTGACAGGGGACTAAGTTTTGAATTTGAAAATGTATACTGTCCGGAAAAAACGAATATGGATCGACAGTTTATTAAAGAAGAATATAATTTTTCTTCGTTTAACCTTTGTGATTGGATGCTCACCCATCGGAAATCTTTCTGAGGGAAATTGAACCTACTTTTATAGACAACATGCAAAAGATTCTCCTTTTTAGCTTCCCTCACACATAAAGAATGCAATAAATCGTGCATTCTAAATGTCTTTACCTTTCTTCCACAACCACTTGGCCGACTTACAAGAATTAGGTTCCTATCCTTGAGTTCTTGAATGTGCCTTCTAGCCGCCGGATCAAAGCTCATACCCTTAGATGCCTTTACAAGTCCTTCGGCAATCCATAACTTTACAACATTTTTAATTCGGATCTCTTTATCTTCTGGAAATATGCTCAAATATAAAAAACAAGCCTTCGAACTGTGAGGCAAGTGATTGTAACTGGATGAGAGTATCCTTGAGCATTCTTCTTCAATTGTTGTTGTTGTTGTTGTTGTTGCAGATGAATTTAGAGCTTCTGCGACATTCTTCCACTCATCTAGGGTATGAATTTTGGAAAATAAACCTGCAGCAACAACAATTGCTAAAGGCAATCCTCTACATTTCTTAACAATCGGTCGCACAATCATATCGAATTCTTCAGAACGCAGAGAGTTGCTTCTCTTTTCATTAAATAGATTCCAACTCTCATCTTCTTCTAACAATTGCATTTGATGCGAAAAGTCATTGTTAGATCCTATAATAGTAGCCACCTCTGCAAAGCGAGTAGTCAACAAAACTCGACTGCCATTTCCATTATCTGGAAAGCAAGCTTTAACAGAATCCCAGGCCTCGACACTCCAAATGTCATCTATCACTACAAAGTACCTTCGCTGCACCAGTTTTTGGTATAGTCGTTGTGCTAGCCAATCCTCTTTAGTGCTACCATCTATACTATCCCCCATTGATTCAAGAAGATCCGTTAGCATTTCTGACTTATCATGATATTGTGATGCAACAACCCATGCTCGCTTGTCAAAATGGAAGACAGTTGATGAATCTTCATAAACTCGTTTAGCTAATGTTGTCTTGCCAATGCCTCCCATACCTTTAATGGAGACAATTTCCCGTTGCTTTGATGAATGCTGAATTAGCATCCCCATTACAATCTGGAACTCATTGTCTTTCCCCACCATTATGTTGCTGCCCTGCAGGGGCTGGGAGTGTGAAGCGTTTTCCCCACCACTAGATGTGGTAGAAGCTGCAGCTGCGGCAAGTGTAGTAGTTGTTGTTTTCCTTCGAATTCCTTGCAAGGCCACATACTCCATCTTCACTTTGGACAAGTCTTTGTAGATGGCATCAATGTCTCTTATTGCTTCTTCCAAAATACAACCAAGTTTGAATGAATGCCAACTTCTTTGGGCATCATCAGTTTCTCCTGATTGTGGTTTTTCCACAAAAAGATCTGCAGCAATTCCCAAGTCTTCTTCTGCGTCAATAGTCCTCTGGGGGTTTTCCAAAAAAAGACCTGCTATTCCTGCAAGTAACTCTTCCATTTCCTCTATCTCATAAAGATGTACGATTTGGAATTCAATTTCATCTTCTACTCTGAAAGCCACGTCTCTGAGCTTAGTTTCCAAGTCTTTAATAGCTTGGATACCATCCATCCTGTTCTCATCGAACAGCTCTATCAGATCACCAAGTTTCTGGTGGAGGTTTTGGATCAAGTTTTTATTGGCAGGGATGAGTTGCTTTTGTCGTACGATTGGGCGAGGCAGAGGTTGCAACAACTCAAGCTCAATCGTCCTCACAAGAGAATTTACAGCAACACAAGCCATTCTTCAATTCCCTTAGTAATGTAATGTAATGTAATGTTTGGGTGAAGAATTGAAGCTTAATCAGCAGAAATAGAAGCGATAATATCAACACTAGCAATTATACAGATGTGTAGCTCATTGGATTGGAAGTGCAATAATTGGAAGACGACGGAAGACTTTTCTGATAGACTTAATTAGCTGCCACCCACTCATTACCCACTTCTTCTCTAGTTGTCGGCAACATTACTTTTTCTCAGTCCTACATGAGGGGTAGTTGGGATGCTTTCAGCAATATAGTACAGAGTAAATAATTTGGTAGGTGAACCTACATTTACATCTACAAATCTACCATTTACAAATTTAATAAGAGCCAATAATGTTAGGTCTTAACGGGAATAAAAAAAAATATTGTGTAATTATTTTTTAAAATAATACTTCATCTTATTTTGAATTTAGTATTTTTTTATAATTTTTCTTATTTACCCTTTATTATATTATTTTTTTAACTTAATAACCATATATCTCATTAGTATAAACTTTAGTAACGGAATATTCCATTAACTATTTATTATTATTAACTTACTCATTAATTTCTATAAGAAAGATCTTAAATTTGAACCTCATCCCAATTAGAGTTAACATAATTATTAAACATATACTAGGAATATGCTAAAATATTTTTAAAAAATATAATATAAAATTTAACATAAATATTGATCAAATAATTAGCCCAATTAAATACATAGCATTCAAAGTTAAGCATTAGAGATTATAAATCAAGAACTTTAAAAATTATTTTCGTGTATACTTTTAAAAAGCAAATTTGGATTAATTTTTTTTTTCATTTAATTAATCTTCTTTTAACTAGTTGCTTCATATGAGAAGAAGCGCCTTCTTGCTTGTGGATCTAAATACTATCTTCGCTAAATAGGCTTTAACCCATGGACTTTTCACTATTAACACTTCCCTCAATTGTTATATTTTGCACCATGGGCACAATGCATTATGCATCCTGACTCAAAACGACGTCGTTTTGTATCTTTTAATTAACGATTTTTTTGGAAATTTCGATTCCCATTTCTGTCGTAAAATTCTCTGTTTTATATGTACAGAATTGTATAGTAGAATACACATAAACTCCTAACATAATACACTATAAACACAAAATTAAAAACTGTACCGGAATTGGACAGACGGACGGAATGGTGTCTGTCACGTCAACTCCCACCAACTTATAAAAACGTCGTCGTTTTGGGCCAAGATGCACAATACATTGTGCGCCCTAATGCACGATATAATTCGCCCACTTCTCTCGGCTTCTATATATCTTAGCCTGTTTAGCTATAGGTTGGTCTTGTTGAGCCCGCCTAGTACCTTAGAGCAAGGCTATTAGATAGTTATGCCATAGACCCAGGTTCACCTTGTAAGGTACTAGGACGTAGGTGTTGGAAAAAAACAACTTAAAATGATATAAAATTAATGACATTATAAGTGGTTATTTTGTGGTACAATTATTAGTGAGGTCCACTTCCAATTTGGGTCAAGTCAAAGTGAATTCGGATTCTTCGTAGTGAGACGAAGAGATTTATATATATTGTATGCTCAAAACGGATAATGGGTGAATGAGAAATTAATTCTCAAAGTAGACCCATTTCAGTTTGAAAATGAAGGGAAAAAAAGAAACTTTTGTCCCACATTGGTTAAAGAGTAAAATAGAGTACTAATTATGCCAACTTTGATTGGGATGGGGTTCGAACCAAAAACCTTTCTTATTAAAATCAATGAGTAAGTTAATAGTAAACTAATAGAAATTAATGGAAAAAATAATATTTAACGAAAAAGTTAATGGATAATCATATTCATTAAGGATAAATTAGGAAATCTTAAGTAAAAATTAAAATCTGATCAATCTTAGCAATTCATTTGATTAAAAAATTTGACCGCCATTTTTTCTACCCATTATAGGCCTGACTTTCTTGGGCTCTTATTAGTATAGTAGAAATAATAATTTAGTAGTTACAACAAAAAAAAAATACATATGTATTTCTTTAATTTAGAATTATGTGTCTACAATGCCTTTATTCAAAAAAAAAAAATTTATTCATTATCAATAAATTAAAAAAGAGAAATAATTTCATTAGTTATATTGTCTTTATTTTTCTCCAATATAAAAATTCTTTACATTCAAATTCATCAATTGATTATATTCGCTACATTGTCCCTACAATGTCTTTATTAAAACAAATTATTCATTATCAATAAATTAATTAAGAGAAATAATTTTATTAGTTATATTGTCTTTATTTTTCTCCAATGTAAAAATTCTTTACATTCAAATTCATCAATTGATTATATTCACTACATTGTCTATTATCTTTTTTTGTGCACTATTTCTTTTAATTAAGTATCAAAGTTATAATACAAAATAATGAAATATATTTATTTACCAAGTATTTTATTAATACTATTAAATATTAAAAAAATATATAATTAATAAAGCCAATCATATTAACTATTTGAGGGATCTGTTGACAAAAAGAGTATTCAAATCACACAACAAATTGAAGTGAGAGCTGTCTCGCAATGTCGTTGTTTGACAATCAGCAGTTAGCGGTTACCACAGATTATATTAGCGGATTTGACCAGCGAATTATATCAATAGTTGGTAAAAAGTTATTTAAAAAAAATTATTGTTTAGATTAACATGTAAAATGACCTAATAGTATAAATATTTAATAATAATAACAATAATAATAATAATAATAATAATAATAATAATAATAATAATAATTGTTTAAAAAATATATATATAATTAACTCAATCAAATTAACTACTTGGGTGATTTATGGACAAAAAGAGTATTCAAATCACACAACAAATTGGAGTGGAAAACTAACTCACAATGTCCTTATTTGGCAATCAGCAGTTAGCTCTTCAATATTAGTATATATTTAATATTTTATGCCCTAATTTTTATTTGCTATCCCTTATGTCTCGTATTTGGTTTCAACCATACCTATACAATTATTTTATTGACAATTATAATCAATGACAATATTATATTGCATTTGTAAACTTAGAATTACATATTTAAATATGCAAATTCAACATTCAATTATCTATGCATTAACAATTCTAATATTCTCTTGCTTTGATATACTTTAAAGTACTTATTTAAAAAAAAAAAAAAAAAAAAAAAAAAACTGGACATTATCACAATCGCGCAATGCACTTACAAAACTAGTATATATATATATATATATATATATATATATATATATATATATATATATATATATATATATATATATATATATATATATATATATATATATATATATATATATAGAGAGAGAGAGAGAGAGAGAGAGAGAGAGAGAGAGAGAGAGAGGAGTGATCACATGTGGTCATGTTGTTAGGTGTGGTCATATGGTCAATTATAGGCCATTAGATTAGATAGATCCAATGAATCATGTTAATCAAGATTTTTTCAGTACTTTCGCACACATTCTCCTACCCAGCGAACTGCAAGGGTAAACTCGTCACAAAACACCGGAATAGAGGAAATCACATTGTTGTGTATTTTATTACACTATTGGTGCATGTTGTCAACACTGTTGGTGTATTCTGGAAGCCGACCGCTATAAATGGCCATTGTAATTACCATAACACGGGAATACACCATTGGTGTGTTTCACTGTGGTGTGTTTTATTACACTATTGGTGTATGTTGTCAACACTGTTGGTGTATTCTGGAACCCGCCCGCTATAAATGGCCACTGTAATTACCATAACACCCCCACTTACCAAAACGCGCGAAAATTCTCGTTTGCTACATCTACATAAGGTATGATCATGTTTGCAAAAACATAATAAATCAAAGTATTTTAGCCCTCTCTCCTAAACCAATCCAGAAGTAGATTGATTAGAAAAATTCTAATAACTCATTGATTCATCTGGTATCTAAAAAAGGGATTCGTTTATCAAGGTTACTAGATCGAAAATTTATGACGTTAAGAACTCTATAGATCCAATGTCACATTCCGTAAAGATTTATGATACATGTATACACGACCACACCTAATGACATGACCACATATGAACGCTTTTATATATATATATATATATATATATATATATATATATATATATATATATATATAATAACTGTGTGAAAACTGTCTCTAATCATGGGAGAGTAAACTAATCAAACACTATATATTAGAATAATGGCCACATAAATAGGTATATTTACAACAATTATATTTTTATTTTGCAAACTAATCAAACACTATAATATTTTTTAAATTGTCAGGAAAGATAAATTGTAATAAGAGTTGTAACATAGAATAAATTGTAATAATTAATAACTATAGTCTAGGATTAAATTTTAAATTGTCAGGAAAGATAAACGACCTCTGGTTAAATTAACTCTTAAATAATTATATATCGATTTAAATATTCTTAATATATTACAACAATTCCATTCCGTGCATCGCACGGGTGAAAATACTAGTATTTTTTAAAAAAATTATTATTTCCACAAACAAAACAATGATACTTCTGAATTATTTCCACGTCCGAGAGACCGAGACCACAAAAACAAAATAAAAAAGCTGCGCCCTTCTCTTCAATTATTGCACCAAGTCTGGCAATAGCCAATAGCTCGAAGATAAGATTCAAGAAACTGGGAACTCGTTGACTCGTTGACTCGTTGACTCGTTGACTTAAGACTCCAACATCAAAAATCAAAATTCACGAATTAAATATATACGTCTTTGATCTGAGAAACTGAGAGTAGGCCGTAGTCTAAATTGCAAACAACACACGGAAATTCTTGCCGAAACAGAGGGAGTGAGACGATGGAAGCAGCGGTGACCATGGTGGCGGAGGCAGTGGTGAATGGGCTAGCGGAGACCTTGACGGGCTTACTGTCCGACAACTTCCAGCTAATCTCAGACGCACACCACGACGTTCAGAAGCTCCTCCGCTGCATCAATGGCTTCAAGTCTATCCTCAAAGAATCCCGCAAAAACAGGACGGAAAATGAAATCGTCAAGCAGCTGGTGAAGGAAATCATGGACGTCGTCTACCGGTCGGAAAACCTCATCGACCAATACGTGGTCGACGCCAATATCCACGTCGAGAAGAAGCTTACCAGTCTCTTCGATTTCCAGAGGAGAAGGGTTGTAGGAAAGATCAAAGGTATTCTCAATGAGATCAAGGAAATCCAAGAGAAGAAGGAGTATCAGAAAGTGATTGAAGATAGCCTCTTGCCCAGAGAACATGCCCCCTCTGTGGAGCAGAAGGTACACTTTTCCTTCAAATTTCCTAATTAAACCATGAATCTAATACTCATTTCTAATCATTCATAATTCCTCAGATAAACTTTGTTAGGGGGGTGTATTCAATTATGACTTTTGTAGAGTTTTAAAGACTTCAAAATGATAGATTTTAATAAACTTTGTTTGACTTTCATAGAGTCATTCAAAACTTTTTAAAACTTTATAAGACTTTATAAAAGTCTACATAAAAAACATTCATAGACTTTCATCAACTTTTTATTTTAAAAAGTCTACAAAAGTCATTGAAATTCTAAATTGAATACATCCTTACAAACTTTCAATGATTTTGATTCTTATCATTTATAATTTTCTTACAAAACATTTATAATATATCATCAAATTTTCTTATTATGTAGTTCTTCACCCACATCAACATTATTATTTTTATCCATAGTATGTTGAGACTTATATGCTAATTACTTTTATATATATATATATATATATATATATATATATATATATATATATATATATATATATATATATATATATATATATATTATAAACATTAAAAAAATTATTTCATTAGAAATTCATAACAATATTGAATAATAAAATTTATAATAAAAGAATTGATCAAATAAAATATTTAAAAATATAATTACAAGTTGCATAAAATAAAAAAATCTAATATTTAATATATATATATATATATATATATATATATATATATATATATATATATATATATATATATATATATATATATATAATTATACTTGATATATTGCGTGCTAAGCATCACGCAAAGAACTATTATTTGCAATAGCAATTTGAGACTGCGAACAACAACAAGGTGTTACTATTTGCAACCCCAAATTGTTGTTGCGAACGGTAGTTTATTATTCATGGTAACTTGTTGTTAAAAAAAAGGAAAAATATATATTACGAATATAAACATAAAGAAAAAATCAAAATATATAAGTATTTATATGAATATTATGAAACATATACTAAAATTTGATGATGAAAATTTTGCTTTGTTCATGCATTTAGGGAGAATTAGAGAAAGTTAGGGATAAAAAATTTATAAAAAAAAAAATAAAAATTAATATAAACAAGAAATAATGAAGTAAAAATAATATTTTTTTGAATTTGTAGAGGAAGATTGTAAAGTTTAGGAGAGAGGAAAATTGGTAGAGTTTAGGTATGAGGAAAATATAGGATAATGAAGAAAAAAATAATTTTATTAAATTTAGATAGGTTTATAAAGTTTAAATTGGGGGAAAAAATAGAGTTTAAATAGAGAGAGAAAACATTCAAAGTTGTTTGAAAGAAAATTTTGAAATCTGGGGGTTGATGGTTGGATTTCAACTATTTATATTTGTGAATAAAAAGTCTACAAAAGTCTTAAAATTAAAAAGTCTACAAAAGTTCATAACTTTTTGAATACCAAGTGACTTTTAAAGACTCTCTAAAAGTCTTAATCGAATACCACATGACTTTTAAAGACTCTTTAAAAATCTTGATTGAATACCGCCTGACTTTTAAAGACTCTCTAAAAGTTTGAATTGAATACCCCCAAACTTTTAAAGTTTATAAAAGTCTTTAAAACTCTATGAAAGTCATGATTGAATAAACCCCCCTTAGGCTTTTAGTTGAGATGGAACACATTCTTCAATTTGATATCAGAGTCAGACCAAAGGTTATGTGTTCGAATCTCATGCCTTTTTACGATTCAAAACTGAAAAAAAAAAAAAAAAGATAATTGTTGAATTTAAAATAAGTAAAGGGAAAATTGTAATTTATGCGAATTATCAATATTACTCATGAATTATTAAACGTGACATATATATTTATACAAGTAAATGCAAGTAGAAAAGAAGATGATAATGAATGTAATTATAGTAATGAATAAATATATAAGTATATAATCATGAGAATGTGGTTGTAATCATAAATAGCCAAATTAAGCACAAAAGTCGTTTAGGTCAAAATCGAAAAAATCAATATAGTCGGGGAATAAATTATGTATTAACTATTTTTAGTTATGTTATATTGTAATATAAGTTTGATCTGTATATCAGATATTGAAATTTCACATATATTAGACTTCAAAGTATATATATATAGAATCGCACTCAGGTGCGAATGCTTCGTCCAGGCGCGAAATAAGAATGGATTCTGTCCGTCCACGTGTCCAGATCTAATGGATGAGAAACACTGATTATTTTAAAAAATGTGGTGACATTTTCGTAAATAATTAAACATTGAAGTGCAAGTAAAATGTATTACAAGTACATGTAAAATGTATTATAGGTGCAAGTAAAAATTTACAGTGAGCATCAATACTTAGTTGCACCTATAGTTCTAAGTAGTTGCGCACATAGTTATAAGTAGTTGCACCTAGGTGTATGAATGTTTGCGAGTGGTTTTCAGGGGTATTACTACCCGCTGAACTCAGATCAATGAATGTTAACAAAGCAAAATTACATGCACTTATAGGTGAAAGTAGGTGCACCTATAGTTATAAGTAGTTGCACCTATAGTTATAAATAGTTGCACCTATAGTTATAAGCACACCCAGGTGCATGAATGTTTGCGGAAAGTGAATGCTAACAAGGCAAAATTACATGCACTTATAGGTGAAAGTAGGTGCACTTATAAGTGAAAGTAGGTGCACTTATAAGTGATTTTACTTGCACTTTGATGTTCAATTATTTACGAAAATGCCACCGCGTTTTTTTTAAGTTATTAGATCTGGACACGTATCGCGCGCTGATTCGTTCGCATATTCCTTCCTGGGCACTTATTCGCACCTGAGTGCATCCCTATATATATATATATATATATATATATATATATATATATATATATATATATATATATATATATATATATATATATATATATATATATATATATATATATATATATATATATATATATATATATGGAAAGGTTCAGGTGCGGGGATGCTTCCCGTGCGGTTGGACGCATCTTACGCATTAACATGGCGCACCTCAAGTACACAAATCACCACGCACCTTAGGCACACAAACAAAGCACCTTACGAACACAAATTACTCATATTAAGTACATAAACCACGCACCTTAAGCACAGAACAAAACACATTAAGCACAAAAACCATGCACTTAAGATTTTAAAATGGCTCACATTAAGCACAAACTCATGCACATTAAGCACAAGACTCACGCACATTAAGCACAAATCTCACATACCTTAAGCACAAAATCCACGCACTTTAAGTTTTACCAACTACTCACATTAAGCACAAAATCCACACATCTTAAGCACAAACTCACGCACATTAAGCACAAAACCCACACACCTTAAGCACAAATCTCACGCACCTTAAGCACAAAACTTACGCACTTTAAATTTTAACAACTACTCAGATTAAGCGCAAAACTCACTCACCTTAAGCACAAACTCATGCACATTAAGCACAAAACCCACGCACCTTAAGCACAAATCTCACGCACCTTAAGCACAAAACTTACACACTTTAAATTTGACTTAGATGCAAAAATTACCAAATTGCCACCGCATTTTTTTTTAAAATTTTTTTTTAGTAATCCTAGACCTTGATTTAAGTAAGATCAATGGCTCAGATTAAACCCCACACCCGCACCAGAACCGACTTCTCTCTCTCTCTCTCTCTCTCTCTCTCTCTATATATATATATATATATATATATATATATATATATATATATATATATATATATATATATATATATATATATATATATATATATATATATATTACATTCAACTCAAATGAGTATATCAAAAAATATTTTAAATATTAACTCTAAAAATACTAATATTATCTAACTAAATTTTAAGTGAAATTAATATATTGGTCAATAGTAGATATTTTTTTAGTTATGTTATATACATAAATAAATTTACTTCGGGTATAAAATTTAAAAACTTATTGATATTAAATTTAAAATTTAAAATTATATTAATTTCATTTAAACCAACAACATCTAAAAACATTTTAAATATAAGGTCTAAAAATTATTTGAAATTAAACTTGTGTTAATTTTATAAAAATAGTCTAAAAAATGTAAATTAAACATAAAATATAATATAGAAAAGAAAATAGATCATGAAAACTGAAAAATTAAAAAACATAAAATAAATAATAGTTTTCTGGTATTTGTGATATAAAAGTTATTCCCAGGTGCATGTGAATAGCTAATACCAAGGCTCCCTTAAGAATGGCTAATCACCTTGCGAAGGTAATAGCCCATTCATATGCATGTTATTCCCATGACAAAATGATCCAACCAAACAATGAAATATGTTTATTCTAAGGAATGTTATTCCATTCCTAGCCTATTCCATGAACAAAACATGTCATAAGGGTCTAAAGTCTATTTTCAGTTTCTCTAGAAAATCTATCCGCAATTAAACCTTGTTCTCATATTGTGATTTTTTATTATTAATTAACTACTTATTTTAAATAAACTAGTATTTTTCTCATTCGATGCACTGACACAATTTTTTTTTTTTTTTTTTTTTTTGGTGGGGGACACAATTTTAGAAGTATTGTTTTAATGTTATGATACTAAGTAGATGTAATTTTATTAAAATATAAATATATATAACTATACAATGTAATATTTTTTTTTTGAAATTTAACTATAAAATGTAAAACTTATTAATTTAAAAAAGTTTATCTATGTAAGAAGTAAGAGTTATATTGATTTTATATAGAGATTTCTCATTTTTTTTTAGATATGTGGAGTCCAATTATAATTGAGGTGTGGTTCAATTATAATTAACATTAAATACAAATCAAGATCTCTTTATACGCGTAATATTATCTTTTAAAGGTTTCATCTAATTTTAGTATTTATTGGTAAAGTTTTATATTTAATATAATTTGTGTATATATTCATTTAACCTCAATTATAATTAATTTGACTCCACATATATAAAGAGGAGAAATTAGATATAAAATAAATTACATAAATAACATTTTTCAAATGAATAAGTTTTTGGTGGAGATTTTTCACAAATATCGCCTGTTATTTTATTTACAAGTTTTATTCAAATACGTTAGTTATATAATTAAAGTAGTTATTTCAAATTCAAAATTTTTCCAAAAAAAAAATTCAAATTCAAATAATAATACAAGTAACAATAAACTTTAAAATCAACATAATAATAGCATAATTAAACTTTTAAAAATATTAAATATTACATTGTATATTTATACTTACATTTTTAATCAAACTAATTCTGAGCTCAAGAACTCAAGTATGTTTTTCTGTTTTTCCAACCATTACTTTTTTTTGCTAATTTAGAGGATGTCAAAAATTTAATTGATAAATTTGTTAAATTAATAATAGTTCGTGCATCATACGGGACAATTACTAGTAAAGATAATGTGGGAAAGGAATTAATACACACACCATATGTTATATTTTCAAAATTTTCTGCAATATGATACGATAATATTTGACTTCTATGAAAACAATATCTTTTCATCTCCGCCCTAACAATAACTCATAAGAATAAATATTGCAAAATGTCATTGGTCACTCATTTATTTTTTTAGATAAACTCGAAAAAACCCTCGAATCGAACCGAAATGGCGAAATGTGTACCGCTAATTTTGACTAATATTTTAAAACATATATTTCTGTATTTTTAAACTATGACTTTGAAATAAATAATTTAAGGATGACAGTTACAATATAGAGTATAATTTAAGGACTAAATATAATTCACCATTTTCCATCAGCATTCTTTGAATTTTCCCTGGACATCACTATCTTTTTCTTTTGCTTCCCTTTGACCCCAACTGAAAAAAAAAAATGAAATTTCAAATGTGAAAAAATGAAAATAAAAGAGTAGTATAGAAGTAAAAAATATGTGAAAATAGAATACACAGATTGTCTATTGATGTGCATTTTATTTATTAATTCGATCTTTATGAACTTCTCTTTGGTATACGTGTGTCATTCATTTAGCATAAGTTTATGATATTTAAAAAAATTGGCCAACCACCTTGTGCTCAGATGACACGTAGTGACTTCTCCCATATGAGATGTTATGCGATTGAACCTCCGAAGTATGTTTGAACAAATACTTTTATACTTTATAGTCATTATGTGCCATGAATTAGTTTACCTAGTGTAAATCCGCTGTTGATTTTGAAAACATGTCCGATGAGAAAGAGAGATTATGAGAAAATTTTGAAGGGGTGGTAGCATTACTCAAAAAACAAAATATTGGATATACAAATTAAACACTTTGGATCTGAAGTCTACTTTCTTTTTTTTTGAAAATCTATCCCACAAGCTAAGTAACAATTCAACCTTGTTCTCCTATTGTAATTTTTTTTAATTAATTACTTGTTTTAAATAAATAATGTGGGACAGGATCGGAATTAATACACATATTATTAGAACTAGTTTTTTTACGTGCTTTGCGCGAATGAGGTAATGCCCAATGATTATTTTTAAATAAGTATTTCAAAGTATATCAACGCAATATTATATCGGAGATGCTCATGCATATGTAAATAAATATTGAATTTGTTTATTTAAATCGGTAATTCAAAATATATAAATGCAAGATAATATTTATTGAATTTTCTAATCGATATTTGGTAGTGGTAGTTTTCCCCTACATGTTTCATGCATTGTGAGATGTGTGTTGTAGGTTATCTATTGAACAAAATATTAATATTTATTATATTTGTATAAAATACTTGGTAAATAAATATATATAATGTATTTTGTATTATAACTTTGATATTTAATTACAAGATAATGTAAAAAGAAGACAATGGACAATGCAGTGAATATAATAAATTAATAAATTTGAAGGTAATGAATCTTTGAATTGTAGAAAATAAAGATAATATAACTAATGAAATTATATCTATTTTTAAATTTTTTAAAATGAATATTTTTTTTTTAAATAAAGGCATTATAGACATCTAATTCTAAATTAATTAAATGCATATGTATTATTTTTTGTTGTAGCTACTACTTTATTTAGTTTAATAAGAGTAATAAAGTGGCGTACATACTTTTCATCAACAATAATGCAATCATTGTTTTTTTTTTTTTAATTTACATTCGTTGTTGAGACAAATTGTTTTGAGAGTGTGTCAATGACAATTGTTACAATTCCTGTCAATATAGGATGATAATAAATAATTCAAAATATATAGTTACAATAGATATTATTATAATAATATAGTAAAAATTAACTTACAAATTTCTTTAGAAGTTTTCATGCATTGATAAAATTCTGATGTCTAAACTTGTTCAATTAGAGCCAGCGGGATGTCAGCATTGTCATTCGTTAGAAAATGGTCCTACTGTTTTAGAGTCCAGGTGTAATTGTATTTATGATCAATAATTTTGTAGTTAGGTCGCGCAAGCCTGACAATAATGTAAGAACAGTTTTGTCTGATAAAAAAATAATAGTATAATATTTGTAAAGTAATGTACATAATTATACCATTATAAAAATACATACAAAAAATATTAATACCATAACGACCTAAATCATACCAATAATGCAAAAGTATAATTGAAATATTAAGTTTTTTTTTTTTTTTTTCTGATCTAAATAATCAAAAGAAGATTAATTAAACAAAAAAAAAAAAACCTAAATATGTTTTTTTTTAAATGCATAAAAATCAAATGATTTTTAAAGTTCTTGATTTATAATCTTTGATGCTTAACTTTGAATGTTATGTATTTAGTCAGACTAATTATTTGAACAAAGTTTATGTTAAATTTTATATTATATATATTTTAACATATTCGTAATATATGTTTAACAATTATGCCAACTCTAATTGGGATGTGGTTCGAAACTAAGACTTTTCTAATAGAAATTAATGTGTAAACTAAAATAATAAATAGTTAACGGAATATTCCGTTACTAAAGTTTATGCTAACGGAATTTAGGTTATTTAAGGGAAGAAAATAATATAATAGAGGGTAAATAAGGAAAATCAATAAAAAATACTAAAATCAAAATAATATGAACCATTCATTTTAAGAAACAATAGTATAATATGAACTATTCATTTGAACAAACAATAGTACCGACATTTTTTTTGTTCCAGTTAAGGGCCTAACATTATTGGCTCTTATTAGAATGGTAGAGGTGTAGAGATTTTGTGCAACACGATAATAATTAAACTTTTATGAAAATAATATCTTTTCGATGCCAAGCACTTTGTGCTTAGATGGTATGTAGTGACTTCTCTCATATGGGAAGTTATGAGATTGAGTCTTAGTGGGGGACGTTGTTGCCTCATACTACAATGTGCTGAGTCACCAGCATTCAAAAAGTCCCAGACTATATATATATATATATATATATATATATATATATATATATATATATATATATATATATATATATATATCAACATCTCCGTCCTAACAAGAACCCTCGTTTTTGTCATTTAACATTACAGACTATTATTTTTGTACACTTTTAGTCTTTCTCATGACTTTTCCTGTTTTTAATAAAGGCATTTTTGTCTTTTCGTATTTTCTTTTGTTATTTTCCAGTTTAATTGGTTTAGGACTTTACTAAAAATCTGTTAAAAATATGGTTACTAAAAATAAGAGGTTATCCAAAGTTCTAAACCAATTAAACCGGAAAAACAACAAAAGAAAAATATGAAAAGACAAAAATATTTTTACTAAAAATAGAAATAGTCATGACTAAACGTGTTCAAAAAATAATAGTCTGGAATGTTAAATGACAAAAACGATAGTCTGGGACTGAATTTAAAATTACCACTAAAGACAAAGGACCTATAGTGGAATTAACTCTATTGCAAAATGTCATTGATCATTCATTTTTTTTTAAAGATGGATGAATTAGATTTATTCTTATTTTGGAAAAAATATGTTCATCTTCACGTGTATATATTATTATTACAATATTTACATATTTTAGTTTGTATGATTGAAGTAGTTTAATTGGAAAATACATTGGTTAAAGATCCGAATCTTGGTTTAACTATAAAATAGATAGATAGATAGATTGGACATGCATGTTTTGACAAGTGTTGTTTGTTTTAGTAGCTTAGATTAATTATTAACCCTAAAATAGATAGATAGGCATGTTGAATAATGCAAATGCTAACTCAAATTATTATATATTTAACCTTAAAAAGGTACCCATAGTGGAAGAAGTACATGTGGTGGGGTTTGATGGAGAGGCAAAAACAATTATCCAACGTCTTATGGAGGAATCAAGTTATGAAGTTATTTCAGTTTTGGGTATGGCTGGTCTTGGCAAAACCACATTGGCCAACAAGGTATTCAAGTCCCAAGAAATTGAATATCATTTCATGCATCGTGTTTGGATTTATGTTTCTCGGTTGTACAAGAAAAAAGATGTGTATCTGCAAATTCTAAAGAAACTACAGCAGAGCAATGATAATGATATTAGAGCGACTGAAGAAGAATTAGGTCTCAAGATTAAACAAGTTATGGAGCATGGAAAATATCTCATTGTACTAGATGATGTTTGGACTAAAGAAACATTCGAAGATATCATGCATGGTGCTTTTCCAAAGAGGGATGGTTGTAAAGTCTTAGTCACCACTCGGAAAGATGAAGTGGCTATGACTGTAAATTCTTTGGGAGAGCCTCATCGCTTAAAATTTCTAGAGCCCGGAGAAAGTTGGGAGCTACTTGAAAATAGGGTTTTTCATGAAAAGGAAACCTGCCCGGATGACTTAAAACCGTATGGAGAAGAAGTAGCAAAAAAATGCGGTGGTCTACCACTAGCCATAGTTATAATGGCTGGTGTTTTGTGTACCAAAGAGAGAAGAATAAATAAGTGGCGTGAAGTGGCCAATAGATATAGTTATTTCTTTAACACGGAAGTACAGAGCTATGAGGAGTTAATACGATTGAGTTATGGTGATTTGCCAGATAAGTTGAAGTGTTGCTTCCTTTATTTGGGAGCCTTTCCTAATGGCAATGATATCCCTGCTGCAAAACTGATGCAGCTATGGATTGCAGAGGGATTCATTGAGGAAGAAGGAGGATTAAACATGGAAGACATAGCATGTGAAAATTTGTGTGGTTTGGTGGGTAGGAATCTAGTAATGGCAACACAAAGAAAGCCAGATGGTGAAATAAAAACTTGTCGTGTCCACGACATGTTGCTCCAGTTTTGCAAGAAGGAAGCTATGAACGAAACTTTATTCAATGAAATTAATGGCATGAATCAACAACAACAGGGTTCTTCTTGTCGCCGCCTAAGTGTTCACTGTCCTTTTGAGAATTTCATTTCTTCTACAGAGCAAAAGCCAGAACTCCGGTCCTTATTATGTTTTGCCACCTCAAATGGAGTTCAGATTCCTCCCAAAACCATTAAATTACTCCGCAAGGCCTTCCCATTGCTGAGGGTGTTACACTTTGCACCAGATGATTCTGTTATTTTCACGTCTTGTAATACAGACTTTTTTCGGTTATTCCATCTCAAATACATTGCTATCTCCACTACAGCTCCAGTTCTTCCTAAAGAGATTGAGAACTTGCAGAATGTGCAGACTCTTATAGTTAGGACAACCCGTCCTACTCTTGAAATTAGAGGAGACATATGGAACATGTCAAGGTTAAGGCATTTTCAAACCAACGCTTCTGCCAACCTTCCTTCCCCTTCTGCTTCAAAAACCAAGAGAGCTCCCTTTGCAAATGAAAACTTGCAAACTTTGTCTAAGGTTTCACCATTGAGCTGCACCCCTGCTGCACTTGCTAAGGCCTCCAATATCAAGAAATTGGGCATCCGGGGGACTTTGGCTAAACTATTGGAGATAGACCCAACTACTGGATCTAGTTTGTTCCAAAACCTGGGGGGTTTGAAGAAACTGGTAAATTTTAAGCTGTTCAATGATGGGGAAAAACTACAGCGCCTTCCTCGTGAATTTCCAGAGAACCTAACAAACCTCACCCTGTCTAGAACTTGCCTCCAATGGAAAGAACTATCTGTATTGGGAACACTAGAGACACTTGAAATCCTCAAGTTGATTGAGCGTGCAGCTGAAGGAGAGTATTGGGAGCCAATCATTGGCGGTTTTCTTTATCTTCAGGTTTTGCATATTGATAGGACGGACTTGAGGTCCTGGAATGCTTCAAATAAAAACTTCCCAAGACTCAGAAGCCTTGTTCTTAGCAACTGTGAAGAACTTGAGATGATTCCACAGTCCCTGGCTCATATAAGCAGCCTTCAAGAGATAAAGTTGAAACATACCAAGAAAGCAATCACGTCTGCACAGGACATACTCAAGCAGAAACAGAACCCAACTCAAAAAAGTAACCGCAGATTCAAGCTCACTATCTATCCTCCTCTGCGTCTGGATCATTCTCAAGCCAGCGAGCTAGTTTAATTTTAATTCCCAGGTACGTACGGTTGTTTTCCTTTAATTTTATTACTAATTATAATCACGTTTATATTGTACGTACTATACGTCATTTTTACAAGTGGTCCATGTATATATGGTTGGCATCTATGAAATCTGTATGATATGAGTTACCAACTTCCATGCAATGTTGGGATGGATATCCCTGCTGGAAATTATGGAATTTCCGACCACCTGAAAGTGATCTTAAATCAAGTCGAAAGCAAAAAGTGGTCGCAAATAGTAACAAAGGTTTTTCCGGATATCAAAAGTGGCTAGAACAAGACTTTCAACTTGATTTAAGATCACTTTCAGGTGGTCGGAAATTCCATAATTTCCAGCAATGAATTTTGATTATATATGTTAGTTAAATGTGCCGCTCCACATTTAATTTATTGGTAAAATATCAAAACAATATAATTAGGGTTCTTATCTTTAACATTTTATATTTTTTGCAATTATATTTATGTTTTATTAATCTCTAATTTATTCAATTCCTTTGTATTAGTGCTGGATTATTGCATGCCCGCAGTTGAATTATTTGCACCAACCCACTTTGATTTCTTAAGGTGATGATAATGGCGGGAGTTCGATCAATCTGATATTTGGTTGTTGTGTGGGACTTTACAACTACATTTTCAATTCTTCGGATGTTTGATCGTTGTGTGGGACACCTACTACTTCTTCGGATGTGGTCGTCGTTACGTTGTTGGTTTCTTATATTTCCAAATTAATAATGCGACAAGCTAAGCGTGTGAGTTTGATTGACTGATTTAATTTCTAATTTTATTTAATTTAATGTCCGTTACGTTGTTGGTTTGCTTTTATTCTATGCATATGCTATCCTGTACCAGTTTACTTGAGGACGGAGTTGAATGCCGGTATTGCATCATTGTTCCTTTAAAAAATTCCACTTTTATTACTTCGTTCTTTCATGTATTACATTTAGGGACATTTAATTAGTTTATGAAATGTGAAATTACTTTCAATCTTGCTGCAAATTAAAATGCATTTTTCGTATGAAACTTTAATTTGGATTTGTCTTAGTGTCTTCGATGAGGATATAATATTTCTGAATGAATCAAATAATAAGTCTGTATGGAATATATATAGTAGCGAATAGCAAACCTAATACAAGACTAATACTAGTAACAATAGGTAACGAATACTAATAATAATAGAGTCCTAATACTCCCCCTCAAGCACAAGGTGGACTAGCTATAACATTGAGCTTGCCACACAGAGTAGAGAAACGCGGACCAGGGAGAGCTTTAGTGAACACGTCAGCCAGCTGATCCTTAGTAGAAATGAAGCTAACCTGCAACTCTTTCTTTGCCACTTTGTCACGAACAAATTGATAGTCAATTTCCACATGTTTCGTACGAGCATGGAACACCGGGTTGGAACAGAGATAAGTTGAACCCAGATTATCACACCAGAGAGTGGGAGGAGCTGCCAACGGCAACCGAAGTTCATGCAATAGAGAAACCAACCAGGTGACCTCAGCAGACACGTCAGCTAGTGCCTTGTACTCGGCCTCTGTAGACGAACGAGCAACCATACGTTGCTTCTGGCAAGACCAAGAGATCAGATTGTCACCAAGAAAAACCGCAAAGCCGCTAGTAAACTTTCTGTCAGCGGGGTCCCCAGCCCAGTCCGAATCCGAAAAAGCATGCACTGCAACAGAGGAGGATGGGCGAATAAACAGACCAAAATGCAAAGTGCCTTTAACGTACCGCAGAACACGTTTGAGCATTGCCCAATGCTCAGTAGTCGGGGAGTGCATATGCTGACAGACCCGATTCACAGCAAAAGATAAATCCGGGCGAGTGACAGTAAGATACTGCAGAGCCCCAGCAAGACTGCGATACTACGTGGGATCGGCATAAGGAACCACAGATTCAGAAACGGGTCGAGTCACAGGCACCGGAGTAGCCAACGGCTTGCAGTCCACCATACTTGCACGGCTCAAGATATCTCGCATGTATCGCTGCTGAGAAAGAAACAAACCATCACCACGAGAGACCGTCTCAATGCCCAGAAAAAAAGACGGAGCACCCATGTCACGAATCTTGAACTCTGAGGCTAAGTCAGTCAGAAGCCGAGTAACACGCGAAGCATCAGATCCCATAACAAGGATATCATCCACATAAACAAGCACATATAAAGATACAGAGTCACGAGTGTATATGAATAAAGAGACATCAGTCTTTGAAGGTGAAAAACCAACCGACACCAAGAAAGCATGTAACCTGTTAAACCATGCGCGAGGAGCCTGCTTAAGACCATAGAGTGACCTCTGTAATAAGCATACATCATCCGGTCGTGACGAGTCCTCATAGCCAGGCGGCTGTCGCATGTAGACTGTCTTTGCAAGATTACCATTCAGAAAGGCGTTGTGAACATCCAACTGCCGAATTACCCAACCGCGAGAGACAGCCAAGGAGAGAAGAAGCCGCACGGTTGTGGGTTTTACAACAGGACTGAAGGTCTCAAAAAAGTCCTGTCCTGCGACTTGATTGAACCCCTTAGCCACCAACCGAGCCTTGTGCCGCTCAATCGTGCCATCAGCCTTGCGCTTCGTCCTGAACACCCATTTGCAGCCTACAACATTCATACCAGGTGTGCGACTAACCAGACGCCAAGTGTGATTCTGGAGCAAGGCATTAAACTCAAGATCCATGGCCTCACGCCATTCCGGATACCGAACTGCCTGAGAATAACAGGTCGGCTCAGAAACAGTCATAAGAGCCACATGCTGCGTCGGCCCCAAAGAACGAGTCGCCATAACATGAGACCGAGGTAGAACCAGTTTTACCGTGCGCCGACCTCGCTTGGGCGCCTTAGGAGCACCCGGAACTGCCACATCTGGAGCCACGGCAGTCTCGGTGCGGGAATCAGAAGCAGCACCAGCAGCCCCGGAATCCGTGTCCATCTCCGGACGAGGATCCGGCCCAGCAGAACAAACACCGGAGCTCGCGCCAACCTGAACGGCGCCAACACCCCACGGCTCAATCGGGCGAGAGCTAGAGACCTGAGAGGGGACAGAAGAAGCAAATGGAAATATGGTTTCATCAAACCGCACATGACGGCAAATGAATACCTTGTTAGTAGCAGGATCAAAACAACGATAGCCACGAAACGAAGACGGATAACCAAGAAACACACACGGAGAAGACCGATACTGCAACTTGTTACGATTATACGGGCGTAACAGAGGATAACAGAGACAGCCAAACACACGCAAGAAAGAGTAAGAAGGACTAGAACGATGCAACCGAGAATGAGGACTATCATTATCCAAAACCCGAGTCGGCATCTTATTGATGAGATAGACCGCAGTCTCAAAGGCATAATCCCAATATCGTTGTGGAACTGAAGCCTGGGCCAAGAGAGCCAAACCCGTTTCCACAACGTGACGATGCCGACGCTCAACTCTACCATTCTGCTCATGGGTATAGGCACAAGACTGCCTATGATTAATACCCAAAGAGACAAAAGTACGGTGCAACCGTTTATACTCTCCTCCTAAATCAGATTGAATAGAGACAATCTTACGACCATATGAACGCTCAACTAGTGACCGAAATTGCTCGAAGATAGCATACACATCAGTTTTCAAACGCATAGGATAAAACCATACATAACGCGTATAGTCATCAACAAACAAAACAAAATAACGAAAGCCATTGACGGAAAGAAAAGGCGTTGGGCCCCAAATATCAGTATATATAAGTTCTAAAACATGAGACGTAGTAGTATTGACACGAGGCAAGGGAAACCGTGAGGATTTCCCAAGCATACAAGCACGACACAATTCCGAAGTATCACTAAAACTAGACTGAATAGAACATTAATTTAAAATCTGCCCCAAGACACGCGGGTGAGGATGACCCAACCGGCTATGCCACACGTCAGAGGAGACTCGAGAGGCCACAAACGCAGCGGGACTTGAACGAGAGACAGGCCAAGAATAGAGACCCCCCGAAGCCGGCCCTTTATATAGAACTTCCCTGGTTGAACGATCCTTCACAAAGAAACAATCAGGGTGAAACTCAAAAAAGACATTATTACCACGAGCAAACCGTTGCACAGACAATAAAGACGTAGAAAGCCCAGGAACATGAAGAACATCAGACAATCGAAACAGTGTTTTAGATGCGGCTAACGAAGATGAACCAGTACTAACAATAGGTAAACACTTACCGTCACCAACACGAAGATGATCCGGACCATTATAAGGAACCGCCGAGGACATTAAAGACGGATCCGGAGTGGCATGATTCGACGCACCAGTGTCAGGAAACCACTGCTGAGGATTAACCGAAGCCGAATCATCAACAGAATATGCAACATGTGCCCGCGGCCCCGGAGCGCCATCATAACGACGATAGCACGAAGCGGCCGAGTGGCCTTCGCTGGAGCAGATCTGGCACTGGACAGCCCCGGCGCCACCTCGACCGCGGCCTCGGCCGTTGCCACGACCTCGGCCTCGATTGCTGCCGCCACGCTGCTGCCCGCCCGAGCGACCTCCACCTCGCTGAGCTGCCATGGCGACCGGAGCAGCAGCAACGTCACCACCATCATCAGCACATATAAAGGCCTGTGAAACAAGAAAATCGGATAACTCGGGTAAAGACACCGGAGCACCCCTCGTCAGCGACGCCACCAAAGGGCGATATTCGGACCGCAAGCCCCAGAATATATACATATTCTGATCTTCTAGTGTCACCGGTCGGCCGGCAAGTGCCAAATCCTCAATAAGCACCTGAGCACGCCCAAGATAATCCAGGATTGAAGCATCCCCCTGCCGCAATCCTTGCAGTTCGCCCACCAACCGAAGAGCATGGGCCCGAGTCGTCGAACTAAGAACCTGTTCGATCGCCACCCACAAATGCCGAGAGGAGGTTTTACCGATGGCAAGATGCATCATCTCTTCGGACAAGGACGAGATCAACAAGGAGAGCACGGCCTTATCCTGACGAAGCCATGCACTCCGAGTGGCGGACGATACGGCCGACGAAGACACGGCAACAGCAGCCTCCTCGGCAGAAGGTACCGTAATCGCAGTAAACGGGGGACACATATACGTTCCATCGACAAAACCCAATAATCCTTGGCCATCCAGGAACGGAAGAAGCTGAGTGCGCCAAAACAAAAAATTACGGGATGTCAATTTGATGGAAACGAAGTGATGAGCCGAAGAAAACGACACCCCGGACTGCAGGGGTGCCTCAAGCGCAGCCTCAGAAACAGTCCGTTCAGAACTTCCAACAGAACCGCCATCAGAACCGAGGTGCGCCATAGAGAGAGAAAAAGAACCTGCTGATACCAGATGAGGATATAATATTTCTGAATGAATCAAATAATAAGTCTGTACAGGAATATATATAGTAGCGAATAGCAAACCTAATACAAGACTAATACTAGTAACAATAGGTAACGAATACTAATAATAATAGAGTCCTAATATCTTCTATTGATTTTTGAATTAAAATTTTCACATCAAAAGATGTTGGACAAGAAAAACAAGAACAAAAACGAATGAAACAATATAACTTAAAACTTTGAAAAATATATAAACTTTGAACTTCTGAATACAAAAATCTAATTAAATACAAAATTAAGAAAAATAAAAGAGGTGCAAATATTAAAAGCATGCATGCATGAAATGTCTTAAAATAATCATATCTCTTAACACTGAATTAGTGAAATGTCTTTGTGGGCACACAGTTCTTATGCATAAAGACCATAATCTTCTCACCATTCCAAAAATATACTTGCACTATCTTTAGTTAACATATTTTAATTTTTACCTATAGTTACCACTTTTTGTACATGTAAACAAATGACTTGATAGTTGCTGACACATAATATAATTTTGTACCTTCAGTTAACACATTCTGTA